ACCCAAATATTCACAAATATTATTTTACATATACATGTAAACGATGTATAACACCTTACATAGAGTTGTGGGGGCATTCTGCTTCATACGCAAACCTCCAAGCTGCCGAAATATTAATAGCATCTTTATAGTTGATACAGCTATTACGTAATCCTGCTTTATAAATTTCCAAAGCTTCTAGCGTTCGTACGTGTTCTCTTCTGTGTGACATTTTAATGATTTGCGCGTTCTGCAAGTTAGCACTTATGCCAGGGGTCGAAGCATACGTAGATAGGGCAGTGGTGCATCTGTTGTGTTCAATGTCATATTTGTGTTCGCGCATACGTTTATCCAGAGAGCGTATGGTGGAGCCAATATATATAAGATCCCTTTGAAATCTATGGTCTCTTAACGGGACAGAATACACTCCCGGTGCATACCTTTCGTCTATGTTGTCTTTGCTATTGCGCAGAATGTTGTAAATAGTATTGCGCCTCTTATATGCTATTCTTTTGTTTATACGCTTCGCAATTTCTCTGTAAATCGGATCTAGGTGGCGGTTATATTCAACCACCGCTACACACTGCAAATTATTCGAGTTGTTCGTGCGTGAGCTATCGTTGTATACACGTGATGAGTAGGCCAACGCCAGGTTTTGAATTAATCTTTTCCCATACCCATGTTGTGTGGCTATGTTCTGGATGTGTTGTAACTCCGCTAATGTATCTTCAAAGTTTGAGTGGTGTGTGAAAGCTCTCTTGGTTAGGGCCCGTTGTGCTTAAATATTTAAGCACAACGATTTTCGAATATCAGAATTTAAAACCTGAGGAAGACTGAGAAAGCAGTCGAAAACGTTAGTTGTTTTCATTAAATATATTTTTACTGGTCAAGTAAAGGTTTTTATGTGTGTTTATATTAAGTAAAATTTACAGTCAAAAGGCTCAATAGAGACAAGCTATCAAGTAAGCAAGCAAACAAATGAGTGCTTAACAAAGTGAACCTTAGTTATACTGGAATTAGAAAACTTTTCTATCCATCCAAATTCACATTTTATTAAAAAACTAAAGATATACACATCATCTGTACAAAATATCAGTATCATCATCATCTGCTAATTTTTCCCAACCTACCTATCGAATTTTATCGAGTTCATCCATTTTTAATAAAACAAAAATTACATTGGCACCAATACCGAAACTGTATATAATGAACATTCTTGATACTACCAGTACTATTACAGCTTTTGACATCAGAACAATTACTTGATGTCCCTAATATCACAAATTTCCATAGTGAAATAAATTATGAATGTAAAATGTAGTCATTGAAGGAAGATTTCATACTTTATTGTGTTTTGTGTACATCTAAAATAAATGGTAATAATTTGAAAATGATTGATCTACACATACTTGACAGCAGTTTCTGTACCTGTAAGGTTTACAGGTATAGTTTTTGGAGATATTCATAACATGTGAATATTTAAATAAATTTGATTATTTCAATGTATTCATATTCCTCAAACATTTAATGATCAAGAAGACATATTTCAATTTGCATTTATCTGATACTGTATACAATATAATTTCAGAAAAAAAAAATCATGAATATAACAATAGTACAAATCATATGTGTAAGTATATAACAATTGGATTAGTACTCAACAAACATTTTAATAGATTATCATTTGATTAATGATAATGCAGTATTTTATTGGGCCTATAACCCAATAATGAAACCAGCAAAATTCAAGCTTTATTTACTGTAATCAAAACTAAACTTTAATTAAATTCATATAATAGTGCATCTGAAGTAGGAAAATTCAAACATAATGTTGCAAAATTAAATGAATAATTCATCTCACTATGTATATGAGTAATTAATAAAGCATTTTGTAATAAAACACTCTCTGTGATTCACAAAAAAAATTTAAACAGTTTTTATGCTAATATAAAAATCAGATTTTTTAAAATATATTTAGAATAAATATAAATCAAAGAATTGAATAACTTTTAAAAATGTGATTTTTATTTGAATATAGGAGAATGTACTTCTTGGATTTTACCATTTACTTCGGGTGGTTTTCTAAATATTGCTTTAGTCAATGTTTTACCAGAAATTATAAAAGATAATGACCCATGGTGAGAAACAATATTGCAAATTATTTAAAAAGAAAATTACATTACGTTTGTATTAATTTAAAATTTTTTTTTCTTTTCATTTAGGGAATCCTTAAAGCAAATTGGATGTTTATGCAGTGGCATAGTCATTATGGGTTTAGTCACACTCATTACTGAGTGATAAAATCAGTCATTGACTTTAGTTTTAATACTCTTACTCATCTATCGATCTCAATGTATAAATATTCTGATAAATCAGAATTGTTTTAAAAATACAAAATTTTATTTTAATTCTAGACTTAAGTTCTAAATATTGTAAGAATTAACAAGAAAATTTAATTTTATTGCTTATAGCAAATTTAAATTTTAAAAATTTTGTATAACAACTTTATATAAATTTCATGCATATATATATAAGAAGAATATTTCTATGTAATTTAAAAGAGAAAAAAGTTAATAATTTAGATACATTTTTTTTCATAATAGAACAAATATATAAACTTTTCAAAAATTGAAGAGTATACAATATTAAAATTCTGGATTTTTAAAATTATTTACATTGTTATATAAACAAATTTTAAAAAGTTCATTTATTTATTTTAGTATATTACTACTGTTTAGACTTTATCTATTCTATCACTTTATTGTAAATGTTTTAAAATACATTAAATAATTTTAGACAAGAAAAAATTATTTGTAGTACTGAAAAAGGTCACAAAACTTTAAAGTAATATAAATATATTTAAAATGTAAATTAGAGACAAAAATGACTAAGTTATGTCTCTAATTTACAACAGGAGTTCCCAATCTTTTTTTCTTGTTGACCTCCTTCTAGACTTAATTTAATTCCTCAATCTCTTTCTATACCAATACAAAATGAGAACAAATTACAAAATGAAAAAAGTCAAAATATATATTATTCTTTTATTGAACATAAAATCAGTTAAAGATTTAATTTTTACTTTTAAATTTTAGTAAAAGTAAACATTTATGGAACATCCTGTATCTTAAAATGGTTTTTGTTATATTGTTGTTTGTTTATTCTTTTAAGGTAAAGCATGGTACTGAATATGGAAGAACAAATTTGTTATTTTGAGGGTGGGGATCTGCATTCAATGAGAAGTCATTGAAGATTTAAACAAACTTCATCCAGACTTCCCATCAGTGTCACACATGGTCTGGATGCAGCCTATTTAAATCTTCAGTGACTTCTCATTGACTGCAGATCTCCATTCTCAAAGTAACAAATTTGTTCCTCCTTATTCAGCATCATGCTTTACCTGTAACAGAATAAACAAAGAACAATATAATTCCTTTGGTTCAGATATATAATAAAAATAAAGTTGTCTACTAAGGTTATCCCATGATTCACAAATGTTCCACATAAATTGATTTTTTTTTTTTTTAGTAGTTACTAATTGACAAGGTTGAGAACTTGATTTAAAATATTGAAAATTTTAGTTATTTAATAATACCTCATTATTTAGTTCAGCTATGTATTTTTATATATCGTACTTGTAAATTAATTATAATAAGACAGATAACTTCTTGGCTGCTAATTTAATTAAAATGTTTACACAATGTTTGTTCTATAAATCTATAGCTGTTTTAATAAATATTTGTTGTTAATATTTTTATTTAAAAATGAACTAGTCAATATGTAAAATTATCCAAAAGTGAATAAATTTTATTATAACAAGCTTTTATTTATTTTTACTTATATTATTTTATATCAAAAAATTAATATCATATTACTTTGAATTCAAGATATACTTTTTCACATTCCTAAACTTAAAATTGGGATGCATGTTAAACTCAAATGTGCCTTAAATTTGGAATATTCTTTACCTATAGAATTTTAAATAATATTTTTATTTCCATTCTTAACAGGAACTACTATAAAATTAACATTTTTACTTTCAAATTATATTTACTTTTTCAGGAAAAATTGGATGGCAATTAAATCCCTTTTTGAAATAGTCTTACATTTTAGAAAGTAAAATTTAAAGCAATATGATATTTGTACTAAATAAATGTTTGCTTTAGGGTTTATTTTAAGTTAAATCATAATGGTCTTAGCTCTCAATGAAAAATAATAAAAGATATTTGATAATTTAATTGAATTTTCATGCAGAAAGTAAATTGTGATGATATGAAAAATAACATTTTTATTGACATGGTAAAAAACAAATTTTAACTGTTTAAAAATAAAGGATGCAAAATTTACAGCATGAATAAAATTTAAATTGAAGTTTTGCATTTATTTTAACTAATTGCTTCTACTTAAATTTCTTTTTGTTAATTTTATGAATCTTTCAATGAAAAAAGGAGAAAAAATCATACATAATGGATATATAGATATTTGCATTAGATAGCAAATATTTATGTAGATTAAGTGACATTTGCAGTAATTGATGTATGTATACAATATATTAACTATTCACTAGTTTTGTTTATTTTAAATAAATACAAATATAAATACTTAATAGATAATTAAGACAAAGAATTTGTGCCAACTTGATGTGATATTGATTGTTGCTATTTCTTCTGTCATACAATTGCTGTTAATAAGACAATAATAAATACAACTTAGCACCAAACTGATGTAAAATGACAGTACCTAGCCCTTCACTCTTGGAAAGTAGTTTAAATTAAAAACTGATATTTCATTGTATACAAAATGACAAAAACTTAGTTATTGCTTTGGATTAGCTAATTTATTATTATTTATTTTTTATATCATGTAGTACCTACATGAATAAATGAAAGTCTACAATGATAGGAAATAGAAAGAATTTTATGGAATGTTATTAAAATTTTTTATTTTTTAAATAATCAAAATTAATGAAAAAAATGAAGGAATTTTGGATAATTTAAATAAATTATCTGAATCTAATAAAAGTAACTGCAATTCAGTTTACTGTTATTAAATATGAAAAGTGAAATTTTTTTCTTCAGCCTTTTAGCATCTTTCTGATCCTACTGAGGAAATCTCTATCTACAAATATGTTAAGACAAATAATAATATATGTTAGTTGAACACACTCCATCCTGTGGATATGCAGAGCCTTTTCATGTCAATCAAAAGTCAAGTTTGATAAAGCCTACAATATGACAGCTGGTTGAAGGACAGGACAGGAGCTGACCTTACAGAAGAAAATTTGAGGATCTCATACTGCTCTGTATCTAAGCTTTATTAGCCATCCAACTCTAATCACATGCTCAGTTATTACAATAGATCTGACACTTGACCCTAAAAGGGACTAATCATCTTGATTTCACTTTTTTGAAGTTGATCATTTTACTGACTTGCAGGCTTTTTGACTTTTTATTTTTAAATCAAATTATAAAAATCAAATAATTATAGATGAATATATAAATAATAATTCACTGAGATGATGAAATTACACACATGATTTTTACTGAAAGAGTTGTTTCGGTTTATAAAAGTACTATCAAACTTTATGTAAATATTTCAAATATTTACATAAAGTTTGCTACATTAAATTTGAAAATTATAATATCAAAGAAAAGTTTCTGGATATGGAAATCTAATTTTATTCAAATATCATTAATTACAAACAATTTTCAGAGAATAATAATACATTACACTCTATATTTAACATAAAGAAGTCTTTAAAATAATATATTTTATCAACTTATATAAAATGATTTGTAGAAAACAATATATGAACAGTTAATGTTTATTTTAGATAATTCCAAAATTATCAAATTTGATTGCTTCATAAGTTAAAAGTTATCTGAATAAAATTTTCTAAATTTATTTTGGAATATGTCTAAGGAATTTCAGTTCATGAGTAAGCCAGACAGCTATTGAAAGCAGTGTTAATGCTCCAGCTTGATGTGTTGCTGCAAGTGGTTTTGGAACATACAGCAAAAGGGTGGCAATACCTAAACTTACCTAAATTAAAAAATACAGAAAATTTGTGTATATAATAAGTTCATAAATAATACACCATTTTGAATATTGAGTACAGTATTTTAAAAATATAACTTCAAATGTAACAACTTTATATATTTAAATAAAATACTATTTCTCCTCAATTTTCTTTCTGTAATTAATTAATTACTGTATAAAAACACAGTCGACTCCCCTATAACACGGTAGATACATTCTGGTTTTTATGAATCCATTTTCTACAAGTCCAGCCAATCACAGCCCAGCAGGTATGCAGTTTACGGACTACGACTGTTTGAAAGATTTCTTCCATAAAATTAATCGATTCTAGACTAATTCGACTCAACATTTCCAAAATACGTATACTTTTTTGGAAATAATCCATATAAACTATGCTATAAACAAAAAATTGTAGGATTGCTTACTGAGCGTGCACTGTTCGACCATGCCATTGCTTAATTAAGCTTGTTTTTGTCGTGGAGCTTGTCATCGAATGGCGCTCGCATGCTTCCTGATAAATTATTTTTTTTGCAAAAAATTCACTGAACTTTGGAGACATCATTAATATAAATATAATTTTTATGGACGTTAAATAATAAATGGTTTTTAGTAGGTCTGCTGCTCATTTAAACTCAACGGTTTGTACAATATCTGCTATTGGTCTAGATTCGACCAATCCTGTCGCGACACGATCAACAATGATGTTTTACCGAATCATACCAGTTTTTTAGGATGTTTGTATGAATACTGTTGCAATTTTTTTGCTGTGGTATAGGAATCCGAATTATAGGAACCCGTGTTATATGGGGTCGACTGTATATATTTTTAATTTTTAAGATGAATGCTTTTTACTAGTCTGAAGTAGAGATGCCTCTTAGAATCAATGACATTAACATTTCCCATCACAAATGGGCCAAATGATGCATTATGATCTTACAATATTTGACTGTTGAGCATTGTAGCTGAAATCTAAGTTCAAATAAACTTTGCTAGTAATGAGTGTTTAATTTAAACTACATTTAAATGTTTAATTAATGTTGTCTCAAAAACATTTTATTCATTTTAATATGCATCATATTATATACACAGAAGAGTGTGGAAATAGTGTTTGTCTGCTTGCTCTGTTATAAGACATTTTCATAATGCCATAAGGATATTAAGTCTTATGTAGAGTTTTGTGTTATGGGAATGACACATATGGATTTTGTTTTCATAAATAGTGAGTGATTAGGATAACTGTTGGATGCACAGTAATAATTCTGACTATTTTTATTCTGAAATTTAGTATAAAAACCTTAAATAAAAGTTAAAATGTGTTTTATAAGATTTTTCTCATAATTGTAAATGGTTGCCTAAGTATCTAAACAATCATCTTGAACTATTTGGAATGAAGTATAATTTTATATAAAATTTCATTTTATTCAGTGCCTGTTGACATGTAGTGTGATCTGTTTTAAGCAAGAGTTGCATTTGAAAATATATAAAATAATTTAAAGTCAGTATAAAGATTTTACACTAACTTAGATAGCTTTTCTTTAAATTAAAAAAAAAAATTATCTGACTGATGTAATTAAATAACTTGATTATCTATTAATATTTGAATTATTCTTTAATCATAATTTCTAAATTCATCAGATTAATTTTTGTTTTTGTTAGTTTAAACATGAACTCATTAACACAAAAACAAATCTATTGGTTTAAGAAAATTTGCAGGAAACATTATTTAAAGTATTACAAAACAACACTATTAATTATTGTTATTTGCTTTGCATCTAAAGAACTTGCTGACATCTTTAGTTGTCAACATAAAAATAAAGACAAATTATGGTTATTCTATCCACTTTTACTAGATTTATCGTAATGATTGACATAATGGACAATTCAGACTTCTTATAAGGAGTTTAAATAAAATCTTTCATTTAAACTCCTTGTAATAAAGATATTATTATTGTAATGTTAAAATTAACATCATTACAAGGAAACATATTGAAAGTGTTTATGTAATTATCTTATCTTATAATTAATTATAATAATATGGTAAATGATGATTATTAATTGTTAAAATAATAAATGTAATTGTTTACATAAATAAACAAATGTTAGAAAATGATTGTAAAAATCAACTTAAGAGAGACTAAAAGTCCAAAATGCCCTTCAATTGTAAATAAATGATATTATAAGAAGTCTAAATTAAGTCAAGAAATCCATTAAGTCAACTGTTCTCACAAATCTAGGTAAAAGTGGATCAAGTAATCCATAAAGATGGCAACACTATTAAAATTAAAAACTATAATTTTATAAAGGTAACTAATAATTAATTACCTGTAATAAACCAATAGCAAAAAGACAGTTTACAGCAAGTCTGGCACGAGATGGAAGAACTACTTTTCTTGAAAATATCCACATTCCAGTCACTGCACAAAATACAGTCTCTCCCTAAATAAGAATAAACAAAAATAAAAAAATAATTATTTTATTTACAAAAATAAATACTTTAGATTATGAAACTATAAGTTAAACTATCTATTATAGTTACCAATATCCTGTGATCAAATTGAACAGTTGTAGGATTTTCTGTAAAATTTTTTAAACGAGGTGAAAATGCTAAAAGATCACTCGGTATCCACTTATCTGCCATTTTGGGAAAAGAATTGTAAACAAGTCCTGCTTCCAAACCAGCAACAAAAGCACCTGGTAATTGCAAATATATAATTAATCTAAAGAATAATTAATATCTTATAAAATTAAAATATATTTTAATGGCTATGGAATTTACAACATTAAAAAAAAAGCTTATTTCTGGAATAAACTAATGTTATAAATTTGTAACATTTCAAAAATCATTAAGACTGAGTAGCCAAATAACTGAGGCAATTAAGATGTTAGTCATCACTATTCATTACTACTTATTCCTATAATTGCTGCACAAAGTGTTCTATTTTAATTATCAGCTAGAAAATTGAATCAATTTAATTAAAATTGAGCCTTTTTAATTGCATATGAAATTGCACTGTGAGCAGTCTCCTTCATATTGTGTATGATTAGTGGTAAAGAAATGAAGACTCACTTCATCTAAATGTTTCAACTACAAAACAATGTATACGAGAGCTCCTGCCACAATGGAATTCCAATTTTGTCCACCACAACCATTGGCAAATAAATTGACAGTATGGACCTTCCTTTCATTGTATTTCAGCAATGTTCTAAACAGCGCTGTTGATACTATAGAAGCATCTTGACCACATTCTTGCTCATTCCAGAAAAAGCAGTAACAGTTCTGAGAGGCTATGTCATAAAACGTTAAATTATAAACAGCAAACCTTCTTTTGTAAAATACTGCATTGTCATTTGATGCAGGCAAATAAATGACCTGTTGAAGATCAAAATATAAACAAAGCAAACTGAGATCATTTTTAGTAGCAAACTGGCAAGAGATTTTGGTCTCTCACACAGCATTTTTGGAAGCAATATGCTTGCCATAAATATCTTGTGTTTTTATCTTTGTTTCTTCAGATCCCTGGAGATACACTTTGCATAAACCACAGAGGTTTTGGGCCTGTGAAATCAAATATTAGTGGTTTTAAAAACTGTGTGGTATGATGTGAAACATTATTTTCCAATGTTGGGTTCCAGCTCTTCTAAACACATAGTATACATTTTATCCAAAGTCAGGTTGCTATGAAGATATTCCTGAGTGCTATCTTTTCAGCAGTAACGTGACTCCATCCTTTGGAATCAATTAATGTGATCTTCAATCAGCTTTTGATTAGCCTGATCCTTTCTTCACATTGTCTGTGATTAGCAGTAAAGAAATGAAGACTCACTTCATCCAAGTGTTTCAACTACGAAACAATGTATACAAGAGCTCCTGCCACTGATTGCAGCTGCAACACAAATAGATCACCATGACAATCTCTTTGGATCATACTGGTAGTTTCAAGTTTTTCAAGTACTGTTTGGATTGTTTTCTAACTGATACTTAATGTGTTCATGAATAATTTACAACACACTTTGATTGTGTTTCCTTCCAACAAAAGGAAAAAGAAGTTCATATTTTGACAATGTAATTCTGTTTTACCCATGGTATATGCTTTCTTCATCATCTGCTTAATGTGCCAGACAATAAATTCCTTTTGAAGCTGCAAGTCACCTAATCAATAGATTGCTTTGAATATGGCCTGCCTCCATAGCATACTGCTTTCTGCTTTTTTTGCACCATTATTGTACATAGGACCTAATACTTTACAGTTTTCTTTGTATTTACTGAAAAATATTCTGCACCACTGCACTGTAATTTCCGAGCAAGTTTCTTTTTGTTTACTCTTGTAATTTTCTCTTGGTCATATTCCCTTGGAGCATTTTCTACTTCAAATTCTTCTGGCATTTTCTTCTTTTTGTTTATGTATTTCTTCTTGTGCTGTTGATTTTCATGCAAGTTTGTCCTTGGGTTATCACTATAATCATGAGTGTCGCACGTAGGAAAATCCTCTATAAAACGTTTCAAGCACAAAAGAATCAAGCACCAAAAACACAAACTAAAAACCTCTTTTTTGCAGCAAGGAACTTCACATGCCTGGATTTACATCGGATTTTCTTGGTCACCGAGTTCAATATTAAAAAATGGATATTGTTCATTTAAATCATCTTCTGGAGAAGATAATGCTAATAGCTCTGGTATCTCCACCTGTCTGGTGTAACTTTGAGATGTGGCAATACCATTGTTATTATAAGGATTCATGATACTTGTAAGTTCTGTTAATATAGGTATTAATCTTTCAATAAGACAAATATATTAAATGTAGTGGTCAAATGAGTAGAAAAACATGGCAGCTTAGTATTTTGCCTTAAAACATTTTCCTCTGGTCAAGTCTCATTTCACCGAATTGGAGTATGCAGAAAGAGAATTCCACATAATCTCCAGGTAATTTTGCGATGAAGCGATTTAAGTCTAGATATACCTTTAAAATCATTTAAAAACATAGTGTTTATGGCATCTCTCGAGAAATGTTCATAAGTTATAATATTTTTATCAGATATTTGAGAAATGTCCAATATTTATAAATCTGTAGGATGCAAATGATGTTATATAGAGATATGCTGTTCCTTCACAGCAAGGACCCAAGCTTATATTTAAAGGCATATCCTACATAAGAGGTTTTTCCCACTTAAGAAGTTGTTTTAGAATGTCCCTTCAAAAACCTCTTAACAGGGTTCTACTGTATTTTTCTGGAAGTGAACAAGGTATTGGTGTTTGTTAATTTTGACTATTGAGGTTCAGTTTAGTTTTATCTATTTAATATATCATAATTTTATTTTGTAATAAACAATACCTGAAAGTGCAGTTAAAAATATCACAGATTTTGTGGCATGAGCACATTTCCAAAAAGTCCTTAATTTAGCAGATACTGGTACCTAAGATAATTAAACATTTTTAATATTTCATTACTGTTCATAAAATTAAACTTTCTCAAAACTTATCCACTAAAACAATTACTTTTAAAACTTTAAACTGAGAATGACCTTAAGTTAAAAAAAATTTTAAGTAAGGAGCAGATTTTAAAATAACTTTACACATACAAATTTAAATAATATTTGAAGTAAAAAAATAACTCAAACATATATTTCTTCAGTGTTATTCCCAGAACATTTTTAATGGACATGCTGCCTAGCTAATTTCACTGACCACCTGGCTAATTTAGGAATAGGAATGGAAATACAGCTCTCCCTTGATAGTCCGACATTTTTTAATCTGACATGCTCAGTAGTCCGATGCACCTCCCATCAAGGTACCCGTCCCCGTTACGTGTCTGCTTGCACAGAAGCATGTCGCGACGATGTGAATCTCCCCATCCAATTCTTACACGATGACACAAATTTTGTGTGTTTTCTGTGAGCAGTTCTGTTCGGACAGTTGGAGTAGGGAATATTGTAAGCTACTGCTAGCAAAACAATGCAAAATATGTAATTATTTTTGGTAATCTGGACACTTTTGGTAATCCAACACCCCTTTGGTCCCATACCTGTCGGACTATTAAGGGAGAGCTGTATTCAAATTCTAAAGCACCATTCATACTTGAAGAAAAGCACTACAAAAAATAATGGAGAAACAGAAAAATTTTCCACTACAATACTACAGAAAAAAATTGAGAAAATCAAATTAAAAAATATTCCAACATTTCTGTTCTCATATATAGAAACAGAAATTTAACACAACAAAAAATAAGAAAAGTTACTGGTAAATCAACACAACAAACAACAGCAAAACCACATGAAATGTCAATCACTTACAATGAAATACAGGGTGTCCAAAAAGTTACTATGTGATGGAAAAGGTTTAAGTAAAATTTTATGTATGATATTGTAATTTATCCTTTAGCAAATGCTAAAATTGTCCCGAGGTCCCAAAATCCAGGGAGTGAGGTCTGAAAACTAGCAGGCCAGATTCCATAGGAGGTTATGTGATTAGCAAAGAAGTCTTTCAAAAACTAGAACATCTGTGAGTAAGCAGATGTTCTAGATGTAAGCATCTGTGAGTAAATTCCACACACAACAAACAGGCATAAGCATGGGATCAGTCATAGGCCCGAAGCTAGCAGAACTTGTTATAGTAGATATAGATCAAGCAATCAAAAAAATTACAGCCATAAAGTTTTATAAACGATATGTGGATGACATAATTATACTATATAACCAAGAAATAATAAAATTGGAAGAAATAGAAGAAAAAATAAACAAATTAAATGATAATATTAAATTTAAGGTAGAAAACAAGGCAAACACGGAAATAAATTACTTCGGTATTAAAATAAGTGGAAAAGCAAAGAAGATTGAATTTGAGCCATACACAAAGCAATGCGAGATTAGAAAGGTGTTAAACTACAATTCAAACATCCCACAGTACATAAAAGAAAACATATTCAACATGGAGTATGAAAAAAATCATGAACAGAACAAGCTCACTACAGAAGAAGAAAAAACATCTTAGCGAACTGCGAACTAAATTCCTATTAAACGGCTATACACAACAAATAATAAATAGCTGGGAAAGTAAAATCAACAATAAAAGGCTGGAAAATAAACAAAACAAAGATAAAAACAGAGTAAGATACATATCCTTCCCCTATATTTGTGGCTTCTTTAAACAGATAAATAAAAGTTTTGATAAAATAAATATAAAACTAGCTCCAACTTATAACAACTTGCAAAAAAGAATCCAGAATGCTAAACCTGGCATAAATAACCATATAAATACAACACTACTGAAGTCGTTTATAAAATACCTTGCACATGTGAACCACCAAAAGCATACATTGGAGAAACAAAATGAAGATTAGAAAAAAGATTAAAAGAACACATTGCAGATTTGAAATATAATAGTATCAACTCTGTTTTTTATGAACATTGCACAACTCATAACTGCAAAATAGATAAGAATGACATTATAATAGTACACAAAGGAAAAAAATTGGTACAAAAGAAAATTTAAGGAAAGCTACAAAATTACTACAGACAAAAATAATATTAACAAGAATCTAAGCATAGAAATTCATAAAAACTGGTTACAACTATTAAAATAGAATGTTTATACAGTCGCAGGCAAGGCTGTGTGCAGCACTCTGAGAGTGAGATGTTGCATGTTGCAAGGCATACGGGAGAGTCTGTCAAGTCGGCAGGGAAGAGAAGGGGAGTGGGAAGATGTAGTGCAGAAGGTGCCTGACAGATGTCCACAAGATACAACCTATCTATGTAAAAGACAAGATGGGCAAAAGACCAAAACACATCTATATGGATTAAAAGTTAATGATGAAATTATTTGCCAATAAATTATGTGTCAATAAATTCACCAAGTCATGACATTGAACCAAACAAAACAAGAAGAAGAAGACACAGTTTCAACAAATAAATAAAATATGATATATTTTCTATTCCTTAAATTGTTTGACTTTCTCTTATGGCTTCTCAGTCTCCCAGTTTCAGCTGTACCATTTTGCATCTTTCTTTTAATGATGAAGTAACCTACCATCTTTGATAAATCTAATAAATGCACCTAATTAAAAATTAATTAATTAAATTTAAAATATATGCTCTCCACCTCAAATTAGTAGTGTCTTGCTCCTGTACATCATATTTTCCTGATAACATGCCCTTGTACATCATACTTACCCTGTTAGCAATAGAGGCATGCTGGTCGTCTAACTCCTTTCAGGGGAAAATTTTTTAATTGAAATAACATGACTTCCAGTTTGCATCAGACGTTCATAAATAGTTAATTGGGGGTCTCATGCCCGTAAGCTTTCCATATCTGGTCTCAGCTTTCACCTATCTAACTCCATTCTTGAAATTAAGGAAGGACAAACAGAAAATAATGGGAATTTATAGTTCTACAATTTTTTCAAATTTGACTTTTCAAAAGAAATAGTAAAAGGTAAGTTGTAAGTATAAAGGAATAGTAATTAGGCTGCAATTTGAAAAATTTGCAGCCTAATTACTATTCCTTTATACTTACAATGTTAAGCATAAATAAAACATTAAATACAGTGCTAACCACATGCTTGTTGAGCATGAAAATGACTGAAGATTGCAAAAAAGTATTGAGATATTAAAACTTAATGTTAAAATTTCTGAAATTACCTACCAAATTATCCATCATGATTAAAAATACCCAAAATTCAGATAATTATGTGCATATTAGCAATGCTATTATATATCTAATTTGTCTGATTTCATAAACTACACATACATGAAGAAACATTTAAAGTTTTCATTTTCACTTAATAATATAATTTACACAAAAAATAACAATACTATATTTCAATGTATCATTAGTAATTCTAAGTTAGCAATACTGGAATGAATATCTAAGGATATTTATATATAAAAATTATGTAACCTTATAAACTATAAACTTATACTTCAGTTCATACTAAAAGTACAGTAAAATGATTTTAATGCTGATGGTTCCAAAGAAAATTTTATAAAGTTGTCAATATTTTGTATATTATCATTTTAAGAAATTTGAGGAAACTAATACTTCAATATTTTAACTAAAAATTTACTTTTAGATACATTTCTGATAATCAAATATTTGTAATAATTATGAGATATATGATCCCAACTATGTCTGTCTGTAAAATTTTATTATTATTATAAATTTAAATTATATAACTTATTTTCATTTTGCAAAATTATGATATGTAAAATAAGAGAACTTTCACAAAAAATCAAATAAATAAATAAATAAATAAATAAATAAATANCATTATATGAAAATACAGTAAAAACTGTTTAAGCTGGACTCTCAATAAGACAAAAATTGCTTATTACAAATTTATTTTTCTAGTCCTGTATTTTGTAGATATAAGATAATGTAATTTTGTTTGTATAAGCTAGAAACTGCTTAATGCAAACAGAAAGCAATTTTAAGTCCACAAAAAGTAAAACAATATACTTAAGATGGAGGCAAGGATAAATAATGTACAAAAAACCATGTGCTTGATAACATCACCTAAGGTATGTATTCTATTTTAGTCTTACCATTAGAGCATTAGCTTAAACAAAAAATCATCACCATGTAGTGCAACTTTACAGTATCAGTTGTTATATTACTGTAATTCAGAATGGCAGGAATGTCAATAATAATAATAATGAACATACTAAGTTTGAAGTCTAAAATAACAAAATCTAACATGCTCATAAAAAAATGACAAAATAAGTCACTTCAATGAGGCTTTCAAAATAAATTACCACAAGTAAGCACAATGAACAGAATACACTCATATGTTAAAAAGTCTTTAGAATTATGGATACTAACAGAAAAAAATGTGCCAGAATTAAAAAAAAAGACTTAAAAAACAATTATTATTTTCAGTAAACAGTTACTCAATAATTATTTAAATACATATTTACTTTACATATTTGTTACATATTGTGCATTAAAATCAGAAATATAAGTTTGGCACATATATTATGTTTTATGTTTACTTTTAACTTGAAATAAAAACTGATTCCATTTTATAGAATTTTGTTTTCTATCGCAGACAAAATTAACTATAGATGCCAGAAAATCTGTTCAAGCCAGAATGATATTTTGGACCCTCCTGATTCCGGTTTAGACAGGTTTGACTGTAAATCATTACTATAGAAAAATGTATAATATATTTCAAGTATATATGTATAAAAAATGTAAGTTTAGCATATTTCAAGTAAAAACTTTTTATAGATGATGTAGCAATATATACAGGGTGTATCAGAATGAGGTTTTAAAAATTTGAGGGATTGTAGGGGATGAAATTTTGAATGTTTTGATATAAGGAACCTATAGCTAGAAATTTGAACTAAAGTGTCTACAGCAGTAGGAAGTGCTTGACCGCCCTTCACTTTGGTAGCTACCCTTCCATCCATTGATGTCATGTTATGCTGTGGATGGAAGACTGTAAACACACAAGTACAATGGTCTAACTAAGCCTGTGTACAGGATGTTGTGTACTTAGTGCTTGTCGTCCTTCAGGTCACCCCTTGCATCCATTGACGCTGTGCTGTAAACACACAGCTAATCAACATGAGTCAAAGTTGGTGGTCGTCACATTGAACATTTACTCTAAAGGAGTGCAGCCACTGATTTAATGTACAGTTTGATTGTACTCTACTGTTACTGTTTACAATAAAACTTGTCATAAATACTGTATTCTGCTTTCATTCAGCATACCGACTGCATAAAACGTGTAAAGTGCTGTAGAAAACATTATATCACATTTCCAGCTATAGGTTCCTTATATCAAAATGTTCAAATTTTTAAAATGTCATTCTGATATATCCTGTATAACTTGGAAAGACTTAAATGAACAACATTTAAATAATATTAAATTTCCTTATCTAATATTTTTTAAATATTAGCATAATTAAGTATAACTATAGATCCATTTTCTAAAAATTTTACCTGCTGAGGTGGTAAAATATGGTTCAATCCAGACCATAGCATAAGTGTATACAAGACAAAAGCTGTTCCAAGATGTGCTGCTAATCTATATTGACTAACTCTAGGAACTGCATCAGATTCTGGCTTTTCTTCAAGTCCACTTTTAACCATATACCAACCTAATAATCCCTATAATATCAAATTAAAAAATGTATATTGAATAATTTCACATTAAAATGTAAAATTTAAGATAAAAGAAATAATTATGTAAATAAATCTTTCAATCCTCTTAAAATTTATCTTTAAATTAATAAATTTTAAATTGTTTAATATATATTTATTTACATTTCTATTATATTTTATAAAATAAAATGTAACAGAATTTTTGTTTTAATATTTTGTTATATTTTTAAAAATTATCTTAATCAATAAATTAAATTCAAACAGATGGATAATCAAAGCAGTAACAGTGTGGTCTGTTGTGAAGGGACCAGAGTTTGAGTTTAGACTGAAAACTCAGAAATCCACACTACCTGGATTTTCCTGTTATGGACCTGATCACACAAAACTGGTACAGATAAAAGATCTTAGTGTCCAAAGGACAGAAAGAATGAAAAAACAAGTATATTAAATTCTGCTTTTTTAAATGCTTTTTGTTTGATATCAATAAATCAAGTAATATTAATATCAGTATCAAATCAAAATTTAAAACAGTATCACAAATTAGAATCAAATAATTTAATTTTAGAACAAATTACATTATTTTATTTCATAACATTCTGAGACTGTAGGGCTTTTTTCCACTCTTTCTTCCCTGTAGGCACTAAGAGGGCTTTTTTCCTAGGTCCAAAATGGGGACAGGTAGTGTGAGGAACTGGGCTTGACATATCTAGGATAAATCATCCATGAAAAATTTCTGAGGTTCCTGGCTCAGACTTGAATCTGGGCCATCAGAATGGCAAGCTGACATCTTCACTGCCTTGGTCATCTGGCAATCAAGTACAAAACTAAAGTTGAAATTAAAATTACACTATGATAAAAGTAGCATGAAAAGATTATCAATTCAAAATTCATGGATTTATGTCAATATGTAAAACTAGAAGTAACTGGAATTTCATGGAAAATAATGAGTTAAAATTTCATTCAACTTTATTCAAGTTCTTTAGTTATCTTCAATATTTTGTTAATATAAAATATTAAAATAGTCATTCCTGTGAAACAAAATGTTGTCTAGTTAAGTTTAATATATAATTCAACTTTTCATTAAGAAGTTGTACAGCAGTTTAAGTTCATTTAATGTAATTTTGAGGTTTCTTAGCACCATCTTCATAGTTAACATTCAAATCTGTAAAAATGAAAATAAAAAATTCAGATAAAAATTACAATTAGACTTTATGTAAAACAGATACTATCATATTTTACAAGTAAGCTATGATAGTTAAAAAAACTTTCCTGAAAATTTCAAATATGAATCACTAACTCTTAAATGCATTATATTTTCAAAAAATTGTTCTAATTTCAAATAAATTTATGCATAAAGTGGTACCTCATACTTTGAACAACTGTAACTTTGAAAACTAAATTTAACAAAAATTCTCTTCCAAGTTTGAATGATATTTCAAACTTGGAAGAGAATTTCAAGTTTGAATCATTCAAGTTTGAATGATATTTCAAAGTTTGAACTGCACCCACAGTGAAAAGGGCACTGGAAGTGTAAAATAAGCTTCTGAACAAAGAATACAAGCTCAAATTAGCAATGATGTGTTAAATTTTACAACCATTATAATAAATCACACATTTATGTTAAGTAACCACAACTGTTATACATTGATATTCCAATGTTCAACCCAATATAATCTTATTAACCATGGCATCTGAGAAGTGTGTGGAAGCAATGAAGCCTAAGAGGAACATTGGAATATCAATAATTCAGATGATAAAGGAACTTGATGTGAAGAATGGAAGAGATATACATGTGATGGATCTGGTAGCCATCTAGTGACTAGTAAATGCAATTTTCATTTTATTATACAGTATTTATGTATTTTATTTATGTTTTTGTGTTTTAATTTATTATTAGAATATTAATTGAGTCATTTTTACTTAAATTATGTGTATTTGCTGTTTTAAATTTATCAAAATGGGCATTGTTTAGGGTTTTAAAATAGATTAATTTGCTTTCCATTATTTCTAATAGGAAAAATTGCTTCAGACTTAGAACGATTCAGAGTTCAAATGACCTCCTGGAATGAATTAAATTCAACATGATTGTATTAAATTCAATTGCATATACAGTATAAACATGATACCTGAAACAAGAGAAGAGAACCAAAAGCAACTGCTCGAATTTTCATTCCTTTATTGAACCATCCTTTATACCAGAAAAATGCTGCAGGCAAAAAATAAATAGCTCCCACCGTTCTGCCAATCATTCGATGAACATATTCCATATACCAGATCCATTTAAATTCTTCTAAAGTCATATCCTTATTTGTACTGTAAAATTTGAATTTAAATTATGGTAAAAAACAAATTATTAAAATTAAAATATATAAATGTAATATACAATTTATTGTAATTTTTTAAAATCCCAAACACTGTAGTCAAACTAAACAGACATATACACTATCTGGCCAAAAGTATCCGGACACCCAGTGGTATGGACTCGGAGAGTCCTGAGGCATATATTAATATGATGTTGGTCTTCCTTTCGCATCAATGACAGTCTGCACACGTCTGGGGAGACTTTCCACTAGTTTTTGATAGGTGGCCATCGGAATTGACTTTCAGGTGTCCATCACAGCTGAAGTGAGTGCTGGCAGTGATGATGGTCGATGTGGCTGGCTACGTAATCTGTGTCCTAATTCGTACCAAAAATGTTCTATGGGATTTAGATCGGGGATCTGAGAAGGCCAGTCCAGTTTTTGAACACCCATTTCGTCAAACCATGCCTGCGCAAGTCTTGATGTGTGAATGGAGCAGTTATCCTGCTGGAAGAGAAATGGGCCTTCCCCAAATATTACCATAGAGTTGGGAGAGCAGCATTGTCCAGAATGTCCACATACATCTTAGAGTTCATGTTTCCAACCACAGGAACTAAGGGATTCAGGCCAAACCATGAAAAACACCCCCACAACACGATGCTGCCACCACCAAACTTTACAGTCAATACAATGCAGTCATATAAGAAGCGCTTGCTGAGAATCCACCAAACCCAGATGCCTCCATTGGACTGCCAGATTGTAAAGCGAGATTCATCACTCCAAAGAACACTTTTCCACATGTCCACAGTCCAATGACGGTGAGCTTTGCACCATTGCAATCGACGTTTCACATTCTGGGGAGTGATGTTCAGCTTGTGAGCAGCTGCACGACCATGGAATCCCAGGTTTTTTAACTCTCGACAAACAGTCCTGGTGCTAACACTAACGCCTGATGACCTTTGGAACTCCTGAGTGATTTCAACCAACGAGGACGTGTGATTTTGTTTCACTACCCTTTTCAGAGTTCTATGGCTGCATTCATTAATTTTGTTCAGCCTGCCACGTCATCTTTTTCCACTTTCACTGCCTTGACGTTTCCACTTCACAATTACATCGCTCACAGTGGATTTTGGCTTCTATAGAATGTCCGAAATTTCATGAACTGATTTCCCACAAAGGTGGCATCCCACTATAAGGCCACGGTCAGTCCTTATCTCCTTTGACTTACTCATTGTCACACAAATGCATAAATATGGCCTGACAAACCACTACCAACATTTTTATACCTTTTGGTTACGCATCAAAGACTGTCACCTGCCAGATCCACTTCTTTAGGCGGTGTCTGGATACTTTTGGCCAGATAGTGTAGTAATCACCGTGTCTTAAGCCCTAGTCACACCATGCTACTTCCAGCTGAGCAGGCAACTGCAACTGTGATGGCTGTTCCCGTTAACTAGTAAACCCTCTTTGAAAACTGGTGCAACTGCAATTGCGACTAGAAACAAAAAGTTTGTTCTACTCGTGCTGATAGCAAATGCACATTCAATCAGCAAATGCCTTTGTGCCATGTCATTCAGTGACAACATTGAAAATAGTTCATCCTCAAGGCAGCTAGTTACAGGATTTATACTTTTACAGAATAGAGATTGATTGAGCTTATTCAGACTCATAAATACCTGTGGGATTTTAAATTCTTCGTTTTATTGAAGATTTTATCTTTTTATGTATTCTCGCCAGCTCTATCAAAATACAGTGGGTGATCAGCTAACGAACAGTTCGGATAACAAACACTTTCACAAAACATTTTTATGATCGGACAACGAACACTTTACTGAACAAACATAAAAAGAAGTGATGGAAAATAACGAATACCAATTGATTTTCCCTTGTCTTTAGATAACAATTTGAAACCTTTTGGAGTGCGGAAGATGTCAACATCGACGCTCAACCCAATACCGATCGAATAGTATAGTATTCCTCCAAATTTTGAAACGTGTCTTTACATCTCGTCTTTGTTGAACACCTCTAACAGTTATACATTTTAATTTTTTTTAATTTAATTTTTTAATAATAATTTTTAATTTAACAGTTCTACGGCAGAGTCGATCTTTTCATGAAGGCCACTTGTTTTCTTCGATGTGCAGAACTTTAAAAAAAATAACCCTCAGCAATGGCACTAAACAAAATTATACAGTTAAAAATTTCCCTTAAAAAACTTTACAGTGTTTTTAAATCTTGTGAATTTTTTACAAATTGTCATCCTAGCCATTTTTTAAAAATACGAATTGTTAATTTATCACAAATTCATATACTTTTTTGTTATCAAATTAAATCATCAATTATCTTAAAGATTTATATAAGTATACTAAGAAATAGTTGATATAATATTCAAAAATTTCCTACCATGATTAGAAAAAGCAATAGAAGATGAATTTGCTTTCAACTTCTTAAATTGCTTTCTGTGACAACGCAATGCCCATGGATTATGAGAACTTCTAACAGTTCCATCAGTTTGATCACCTTCTTCAAATATCTGTTCTTCTTCTTCTAACTCATTTACAATCTCTATATTTCCAGTATGATTTACACGAATTCTTGAAGAGGAGAAATTTAAACTAATTTAGAATAAATTTTAAAAATTACTATTTTCAAAACCTGTGTATTTGAAACACAATAAAAATTAAATTTATAAAACACTTTAGAAGTTAATTATATTGGGTCGACCAAAAAGTTTGTGAGATTTTTAACATGCAAATAAATTTTTTTTTAAACAGGAGATCGTGTCTTTATTCAATAATGCAATTTCCCCACGTCACGTAAAGAAGACCGTAGTTGATTAAATCTCCGCTCGGTCGTCGCAAATCTCTTGTGGTCGACCGGATGGCACGTATCTTGGTGCAAATCTGCAAAACAAAATTTTGCAAACTGCTACCGGAATGCACACGTTCTTTGACGACATTCGGCAAAACGTTTTTGCACCGTGTTTTTCCCATTTTGGAAATAAAACTGTATAATTTGCCAGAAAAGCTTTTTTTGAAAGGCCATCTTTAAAACTTTGTCAAAATTATAAAACAAACTCAATCTTCAAACTTTTTGGTTAAAATGTATGGTTAAACATTAGGTATCAAATAATCATGCACTTTTAAGTTTGAATTGAAGTTAAGTTTCAGAATTCCCAAAGATGACTATCACAAAAAGCCAATAGACTTTCTGGCCAACCCAATATATACACCAGTCATTTGATTAACTTCTTTAAAATGGAAATGAATTAAATCAACTGGCACATAAATAAATCAAACAAGATTAGTATGAAAGCATGGATTTTAGTTCCTTAAAAAACTAATATACATACTTCTATACCAATATAAAATATAAATAAAATTCATAAGTACAATATTACCAAATATATTTTTAGTATACCTATCAAATCACAGCTATTAAAATGTAGCATTTTGAATCACACAGATTTTAATTAACAAAATGTACACACAAACTATAGAATTGTAAATTTTTAAAGATTATTAAATACAAATATTAATAACTTTGATTATAATAGAGAAGTTGAGGCGCATGTTTTAAACGTGTAAACGTGTACGTGTGACGTTCGGCGCCGCTTTCCCGTAAGCCTAAAAGTTTGACAATGGTGTTTGGATAGTCGGTAGAATCACGCTCGACATTCCAAACATCATCGTCAAACTTTTAGGCTTACGGGAAAGCGGCACCGAACGTCACACGTACACGTTTACACGTTTAAAACGTGCGCCTCAACTTCTCTATTATAATCAAAGTTATTAATATTTGTATTTAATAATCTTTAAAAATTTACAATTCTATAGTTTGTGTGTACATTTTGTTAATTAAAATCTGTGTGATTCAAAATGCTACATTTTAATAGCTGTGATTTGATAGGTATACTAAAAATATATTTGGTAATATTGTACTTATGAATTTTATTTATATTTTATATTGGTATAGAAGTATGTATATTAGTTTTTTAAGGAACTAAAATCCATGCTTTCATACTAATCTTGTTTGATTTATTTATGTGCCAGTTGATTTAATTCATTTCCATTTTAAAGAAGTTAATCAAATGACTGGTGTATATATTGGGTTGGCCAGAAAGTCTATTGGCTTTTTGTGATAGTCATCTTTGGGAATTCTGAAACTTAACTTCAATTCAAACTTAAAAGTGCATGATTATTTGATACCTAATGTTTAACCATACATTTTAACCAAAAAGTTTGAAGATTGAGTTTGTTTTATAATTTTGACAAAGTTTTAAAGATGGCCTTTCAAAAAAAGCTTTTCTGGCAAATTATACAGTTTTATTTCCAAAATGGGAAAAACACGGTGCAAAAACGTTTTGCCGAATGTCGTCAAAGAACGTGTGCATTCCGGTAGCAGTTTGCAAAATTTTGTTTTGCAGATTTGCACCAAGATACGTGCCATCCGGTCGACCACAAGAGATTTGCGACGACCGAGCGGAGATTTAATCAACTACGGTCTTCTTTACGTGACGTGGGGAAATTGCATTATTGAATAAAGACACGATCTCCTGTTTAAAAAAAAATTTATTTGCATGTTAAAAATCTCACAAACTTTTTGGTCGACCCAATATAATTAACTTCTAAAGTGTTTTATAAATTTAATTTTTATTGTGTTTCAAATACACAGGTTTTGAAAATAGTAATTTTTAAAATTTATTCTAAATTAGTTTAAATTTCTCCTCTTCAAGAATTCGTGTAAATCATACTGGAAATATAGAGATTGTAAATGAGTTAGAAGAAGAAGAACAGATATTTGAAGAAGGTGATCAAACTGATGGAACTGTTAGAAGTTCTCATAATCCATGGGCATTGCGTTGTCACAGAAAGCAATTTAAGAAGTTGAAAGCAAATTCATCTTCTATTGCTTTTTCTAATCATGGTAGGAAATTTTTGAATATTATATCAACTATTTCTTAGTATACTTATATAAATCTTTAAGATAATTGATGATTTAATTTGATAACAA